AAAAAAAAAAAAAACACATATTGATCCCGGTTTTGTATCCGGGACTATACTCAATTTAAGGTTAAATTCAGATTCAGCTCAAACTACAAACTCTTAGATAATATGAGCATAGCTCATATTCACATATTGTCTATATTAGTACATGGGAGCAACGAACAAATACAAGGAAACAAAAATTTACAGGAAAAGTTGAAATATAAGAAATAAAACCAGAAACATTTTAACTCCTAAGAAATAACCTCACCCATTTAAACACAAGTCTTAAAGCTCATTTTAATATGAAAAATACGTGATGAATTTAAAATTCAGTCATTCAATACTCAGACATTGACTATGTGAATAAGTGTGAGGCCTAAAGTTAAAAAAAATATTTTGGCAGGAATTGAAATGTCTTTGATTTTCATTTGTTCTATGCATAGGATGAAGGATTATTTATGCAACTAACCCGTGCTATCAAATCTAGCTATTTAATCTAGCAAAGAATGAAAATAAAATAAAGAAACATAGTTAATTCTTCACCACTGAACATTTAAGTGACACTTCATGAAAATGCTACAAAATACTTACTGAGTACTAAAGATCCAGGAGGCTCAATACACAACTAGTCTGAACTGGGCAGAAGGTCAAAGCCAAATTTTTGATAAAAAAGACTTAAAACCTTATTAGTACAGATTTGATTCAGAAAGCTTCTGATGCAATGAGAACAATGTTAAGAAATAGAAAAAAATGACCATCTAATTAATAATTAAAAAAACCCAATTCGAATGTATGTGCTTCTCAACTGAGGAATATTTGTACAGACGGATTCCAGAGACAGTGGGACCTCCTCCGTACAAACACAATGCAAATAAAAAGCCCTTAATTCAGAATTTTAATTATCTTTCAGCTACATGTTTGCAATATGAAATATTTTAAGTAACAAAATTAAAAGTAGAGGTTATACAGAAGTACATAGCAAGATCTAGTCATTATCATTTGGAGTAACAGAATATTAATACAAACTATTTATATTTGTCTATGCACAATTATTACCTCTTCTCAGAAAGGAAGGGATGATGAGTTCTCCAATTGCTCCTGGATTTCAGTAGACTCACTGAAATGTAGAGTCTGACTGCAAAAAGAAGGAAAAGGGAGTTGGCTGTATGAAGGAAATCACCATTATTGCTTGTATCAGAGAATATATAAGTTCTAATTATTTGATTTTTAAAGAATGCTGAGCATCTCCGCATTTACCACAACTCACAAGTGATAAATATGCCTGAAAACTGAAAAACAACTTCTTGATTCTTTTCTCAAGAATATTTATATGAAAATTACCACTGACTTCTGTGCTAAGGCTGAAATTCTGCTATAGATAATGTGAATTCATACTTTGAAGCAACACTTAACGTACTTATTTCAAATGACACAAGTTTAAAATCCTCTTAAATTGCTGAAATTTCTCTTTCTAAGGACAACTATTCCTACCTGAAAGTCAATACTTCTGTGACATTAGTAAAAAGCCAAGATCAGAACCCAAGGCTATTCTAGTATAATATACTATTTGAAAGGTTAAAAAGATGAAGTCAATTTTTTAAAAAGAATAGTTTTTCCATTTCAACCATATTGTAATAAAATTATCCTAGCTAGTAAGCTTTTCCTCCCTTCTAAGATCCACCTCCAATAAAAAGACTCAGTGATTTTAAAACAAGAGTTATTTTTAATATAACTATTTTTAATATTTTATTTGCATAAAGCAATATTCTGTTTACATAAGTTACTCAGCTAATAAATTGTGCTTAAAAGCATGCAAGTATTTCCTACTTGCTGACTGAGTGCTGTCTACATATTTATTCTGTTGAAGGGTAAAGTCATGCTATAAAGCTTAAAAAATAGTAAGGCAAATCCTATATATACTCATTTTCTGTTCTGTTCCTCACAGGAAAGTGAAATAAGAGCAAGCACTGATCTAAATTTCAGAGAAAAGGTAAAATAATAATTGTTAAAGAGAAAGAACAACTTCCTCTCTTTTCCCTAAAATATTACTAGCTAATCTGCGAACTCAGAGCACATTGATTTTGTAATAAGGAAACCAAATGGTGAATAATAACAGGAGGATCTGAAACATACCTAAATATGATCAGATCCTAAATTCTAAGGCTGGTTCACTTCACAGTAAAACCTACTTGTTCTCTCCATTTTCTTAATTTAAATTGACATCAAGTTAATACTTTATTTCTCCTTTTTTTAATAACTAGATTCATTAAGAAACTTCTCACATTCAAGAGTACAGTTTTTGAATATTTGGAAGGATATTCTGCATGTTCAAATCACTGTCAATATAAAATTTGCCATGTTTTTTCAAAGTAAATGTTGTTATTACAGAGGTTTCCTTTAGGAAAGTGGCCTGACTTACATGTTATTTCTATATATGCACAGACCTGATGAAAGAATTCCAAGACAAAAAGACTCAGTCTCTTCCCTGATCTTTCCCTACAAAAAAAAAAAAAAAAAAAGACACTAACTACAAGCCAATATTCAAAGGTCTTCTGCATTTTGTGATGGGAACCAAAAAAAGAACTGCTGCCAAGGCTGGTAGTCTGTTTTTGCAGTTCCTTACTTTAATCACCAAGCAGCCTTACAGAAAAAATAAAGTGCATATAAACAAAATAAGATTTATCTACAAATATTTGCAAGAGAGACTAAAATAATTTTCTGACTAGCAGAACGTCTCCTCTGTATTTAAGCCAGGCTGAAATGCCCAGTAAATCTAAAATAGTCTAGAAGGTTAAATTGAAAATAAAACTCTTACTTAGCTACTCTTCTTTCTCTGTTTTTCCCTTCATGGCCAAAAACAGACAGCAGAAATTTCTCCGTGTCTGTTACACAGTGTTGCCATCTTAAATTCTGCAGGAGAAAACAACAACAAGAAAAAGAAACAAAACAGGGTCAAGAACAAATTAAATATTTTGTCAGAGCTCTCTTCCTGGAGGTGTGTTATCTTCTCTTACATGTCTCAAAGAACAGGTTATGTTTTCAGAATTGGGAATTTAGACATAAACTTTAGGATATACCTTTTGGGAATTTTAGCCATCCTTCTTACTGGAGACCTGCCCAACATAGGGGACACTTTTGTAGGGTCACGTTAACATTTTGCTATTCAAAACTATTGGGTGTCAGCTGTTCATCAAACAAGTGAAAAATAACTCCCAATCTGAAAACTCTGAAGCACAAACTCCAGACTATTAAGACGTAATAGTTTCAAATCAGCATCATCTTCCTTCTATTTTCACTTCTACCAGGGATCCCCTATTAAACTTTGGCTGAGTTGGTAAACTCTCCTGTGCCCCAGTTTCCCCACCGGTAGGATATAAATGGTTGTGTATCTTAGCGAACTTCCTGAAAGACAATGATAATATTTTTTACAAACTCACTAAGTTGCTGTAACTTGGCTCAAAAGAGTTGGAGAAAACACCCTCATAACCCAAGCACAGAGCTCCCTGTTTAGGAAACACTCCTGCTTGTTCCTTCCAAAACCACGGTATCCTATTACATTACACTAACTTTGCCAAAAGGCTAACAGCATTACTTTACTAAATAAAAGCAAGTTTCCTGCAAATATTTTTCAAATTATGATGGTTACTTTGATGTGCTTTAAAACACTCTGTGACGCACTGAAAAGCCTGCTGTCATATATGGCGACAGGTATCTGCAGAGGCTATACAACGAAAATTAGCAAGGTGTAACCCTATACTTGCAAGAAACTGGTTTTAGTCATGCTCTGAATTGCTCACGTTTTAACCACACGTACCTCCTTTCATTGGAAACTCCTGCACTCCTCTTTGCCTGGCACTAAGTCACACGGACGATGCACTTGGTCCCCGGCTCTTCCTTGCGCACTGCACTGAGCCGTGGCCGGCAGAAAGGCACTTTTCCAGAGTAATGATGCTCCTAGGGAAAGCTGGGCTTTAATTAAGTGTGCACAGACTTCTCCACCTTTATGCCAGGATCACCGCAGCTCCTCAGATCAGCCCGAGAGACTCCAGCTGGGACACGAGGCTTCCCAGATTCCTGGTGCCGTGCACGGGAGCTGGCAGCGAGCGCAGCCCCGGGCAGTTGGGAGAGGAGGGAAATTGGCCTCTGTAAGAGGCTTTTGATTTGTAACTTTTGATACTTCCATACAAATGGAAAATTTTAAATTCAAAAAACAAACTGTAAGGTTTCTCCTGAATTCAAATTTTTGTGCCACAGACATCTCAGATAACAGCCAGTAATGTCATTACTTACAGGTGCTACATGTGTCCAGACACAGGGGTGAACCTTCCTCTTGCTGAAAATCCACAGGTTGCAGGGGACCTTCACCAAAAACCACCTAATTTTGTTTATTCTTAAAAATATTACTAGCAATAATATGAAAAGTGAATTCGTTAAAACATTTATTCCATACTGTTTAGAGGAAAAAAATAAATTTCCATTTCATCCAAAGATAAGAGACTACTAAAAGGCTCAGGAGGGAGGTTAGAGAAAGTATTTCCTCCTTTTGAAGATTTGGCATGGGAGGCAAGCAAGTCTACCTAAAAAAAGTCTGATTCTTACATCATATGCAAGTTCAGCTGCTACTGTAGAAAGTAGTATTACACAAACAATAAAGCACAGAGATAGATGCATCTCTAAACAGAGAGATAGATGCATCTAGGGGATTTTAAAACTTTATTTGTATATAGCTTGGGAATTAAAAACGTTTTGTATAGCTAGACTTTACTGCAAATCTGGTCCTTTAGAAACCATGGTACCTGGCCTTGGAGCAACGAGCAGCAATAACTGGTGTCACTGGCACCTGTGTGTGGTTCCTCCTTTCTTTGCATCTCTAACCTCTCAAAGAGCATAGATTTTTAGAAGATGGTGATTTCTACATTTTGTCTGCAAAATGACAAACATGCCTGGCATACTCAGTACGTACTCAGTACGATGAATCCTTAATGTGAAGGAGGAAAATAAAAGCTTGTATCACAAGGGATTCTTTTCTCATTTTGTTTTTGTCTCGTCTATAACTCTTCAGCTTCACTTCATTATTGGTTGGTTTTAAATACAAAATAGATTCTTTCCTTTTAATTCACTGTAGATATTTCCTTTTTTTTATGCGTGGATCTGCTAGTAACTTCAATAATAAAACCCAGATGCAAAATTTATCTTCCTCCATTATTTGAGAAAGAATAGATTAGGTAGATTTTGTGTCCCATCCCCTTTCTTTTCAATTCATGAGAAAATACTCATTTAAATACAGAATATCACACATTCTTGCATGCCTCAGCAGCTATGGAAAACTACATTTGCATTGATATACATATTTAGTCTCTGAGTGGGTATAGGAGAGTGTAACTCCCCATAACTCCTCCCTTTGCACTCTTAGTCTCAGTGAAAATCAACCTAAAATAAAACGAGCTGTGATCACACGGAAGGTCATTGTGCTACAGACTTTATGAAAGTCTTTTCAAATCCTCAGAATGCAGATTCTCACCGTCACTTTTATTTTTTTGCCCCCCAAGTTATTTGGCTCTGCAAGGATTTGTAAGCTCTTCTGTAGGGCTACAATTTCCAGGTACAAAATTGAATCACAAGAAAATGCTTGTTCCTATCCCTGGCATAATTTAGAACCAGGTAAATTTTAGAACTTCATATATTTTTTTTCCTTGTCCTCTACAATTGTGAGCGCTGTAATTTTGCAGGAATCCCCGCTGCAGCTCACACACAATGCACCTAATGCCTGAGCTCCAGGACAAACCTGACCTGCTGTAGTAATGCTAGGAGTTTATATTATTTTATCCATGTGAATTAAAACTAATTAAATACTTTTTTGATCTGAATCTAGTTATAGATTAAAAAGTAGCAAATTAACAGCAGACCTCTCTATAAAATTCCTCAAAATACAACTTAGAAAATGATATCGTTAAATGACGGACTACAATATAAGCACTGTTGAGTAAAGTACTCGGGAAGCTGGGAAATAAATCCAAGCACGTATCCAAGTTTGGGGAGCACTTCTGTCGCGTGGAAGAGTATGATGGCTGATGGCTGCTTCCCCGAATCGGGGCCTACCTGCCCACCTACCTGTGGTGACTTTCTAAGCTACCAAGCCGAGCAGATTCATGGATCCACATCCTCATCCCGATCCATGCGCCGCATATCCCCGGGAAGAGGAGACACTGCTCTGGCCCCGCACGGCTGAAGCCTCCGTGGTGCTGGGACATGCCGTCGGTGCTCGGTATATGGGGAGGGAATGAAGCTTCAAGGGGGCTGGGAGGCCTTGCAGGGGTTATAAAGCCATTCGGGAGCAGTCAGGAGGGAAAAAAGACGGCATTAAGTCTTCCTTGATTTTAAGTGTTGAGCACACGTGCTGTATGATTAAACGTGGAGAGAAAGGCCGGTGTTCGGCCAGGCTGCTCCATCTCTCTCCTCTGGAGAGAGGAAAAGGCAGACTGGGGATCAAGGGACGTGTGGCTGGGGCTGCTGGCGCCCACCGCGGCGTTCCCGGCAGCGGGATCCCGCAGACCCCGGGATGCTGTGAGGATCCACCAGGCCCGTAGGGAGGGCGCGACCTCCGTACGCAGCCCGCAGGGGGCCCGTCCCGGGCGGCTGCCGCAGGTACCGAGGGCCTCGCCCCCCCCCAGGGTGTCCCGCGCGGGGACCCGGCTCCGCGGCGGGCAGCGCCGCTCCCGTCCCGCTCTATCCCGCTCCGTCCCGTCCCGTCCCGTCCGGCCCGAGCCCGGCGGCCCCGCGCTGCCCGTGCGCGGCGGGTGCCCCCTCGGGGCGGGGCGGCGGCGCGGACAGGGACTGCGCGGCCGCCTTCCACCGCCCGGCCCGGCCTCGCTGCCCGGCAGCG